TGTATTCATCATGAGGGAGTCGATGACATAAGGACCCGACAACGAACACCGTCGGGGGACTTCGCGGCTATGTCGACAGATCATATGATGCAATACGAGCAAGCAGTGGTAGATTGTTGGGCCCCCTTGCCGGTGAAGAGCTTTGAGAACACAGTTTCACACTCCACCGTGAGATCCACATCGGAGAGGGGGACCTACTATCTTGCCGCTGTTTACTGTATTCATCATGAGGGAGTCGATGACGTAAGGACATGACAATGAACACTCTCAGGGGACTTCGCGGCTGTGTGTGGAACTTATTGGCGTGGCAGCAGATGCTCACCAAACAGTTCTTAATGCCGATCGTATCGACTGATCATATGATGCCTCACGAGCAAGCACTGGTCGATTGTCAGACCCCCTTCCCGGTGAAGATCTTTGAGAGCAGAGTTTCGCACTCCACCGTGAGATCTAAATCGGAGAGGGGGACCTGCTATCCGGCCGCTGTTTGCTGCTGTCATTATGTGGGAGCCGATAACGCAAGGACCCGACGATGTTCCTACTCGGACGTGCTCTTTTCTTCTGTGCAGGTGGTAACCATCGGTCTGTATGCAGCCCATTGATTTCAAGAGGAGCTTTTCGTAGCATCAGTTGAGGGAAACCGACGACTCTTATCGGCGACGAGAAGGAGCAAGGTCACACGGTCGACAACTTCAGATCGATCCGAGACACAAGAAGCCACGGTGGTTTGGCTTCGTTAAGAAGCGGGATCCGGTTTCCAGCTTGGTTTGGCTTCGTTGAGCGAGTAGAAATGTGATGGCCCCGACCCCCATTTCGATGTGGCGAACGGTTGAGAAGCGAGAATTTCTCGAAGAAAAATTTAAGAAACAGACAGAAACAGTAGCCGCAGCAGTTGAGCCAACGAGTCATAAAATCACGTGAACGACCGCAGGGGACCGAATGTTAAAGTGCGTATTAATTCGCACATGTTTTCACTCAGTGAGTCGCCGGAAAAGGTGAGGAGGCAGGTTAAACCAGTACACCCTCCGACAGCAGAGACCCCCCCCCCCCCCCTCCGGCGATTGGATGGCGAAACGGCGGTCCAAGTGTCATGACGTGACATCGACACAACCGGCGATTTTTCTCGCTTACAGGCAATGACAAAAAATTCTAAGAATTTGAGGATTCAAAGATCTGCTCGTGGTCCTTTCAGGAGTAAAAAACATAAAAAAAGCAAATCGTTTTCATTCTGCACAGAATAGCCGCTCCGATTTGGCGCACGTTCGAGTCGGTGCCTCATGTCATTTGCGGGCCCAGAGGGGAGGTTGTAAAGCTTCAGCGACTTGTCAGCGACAAACAATGTACAAGGACAGAGTACAAGCACAGTGTCGGACACATTATGACAGATTTTGGTAATACAAATGGCATTCAATGTCGCAAACTTGTAGATATGAACGAACTTATCACAAATGCATGGCTTCCTCATGCCGAATATGTCAGACGCAAAAAACAATCAGCATCCAGTGCAGACTACGGTATGTATCCGGTGGGACCCGTCGATTCTCTGAAGACAAAAAATTGACGTCTAGCATACACACATCATGGCGGCAAATGATTTTTGCAACACAACTGTCACATTGAATCAGTAGTGAACATTAATTGGGGACAAAATCGTTCATGGCAAGGGAAGAACGGGCCTTGGCTGCTGAAGAGGCGTCGGGCAGAAGGAGGGCGGTTTGCGGGGAGGAGGGGACAACAGAGGGGGTGAACCGGAGGAAGGGCCGGTGCGCACAGAAGATCGCCGAGGTTCACACAGAAGAGAATAGGGGGGGGGGGGGGGGGGGGGGGGGGGGGGGGGGGGGGGGGGGGGGCTGGTGTTGGGGCGAGGTGGGCATTTAGACCGTAAAGGAGCGTGTAAGATAGAGATAAGTTATGGACAATTTGGCCACTGGAAAAGAAAATCATTCATATCCACCACCGACATCATGGTAACCGAACCACACAATCGAGACCCGTGAACATGGGCAAAACAATGGACACAACAAGAGAAAGGTCGCCCTATGAGCAGTACAGGAGCACATCTTTATTACGAACAAAGACAACACGACGCTACCGCAGCCGTATAGGACATAAGGATAATAACCCGAAAACGAACGAGGCAAGAAGTTGCAAGGTTATTCGCATCGACATCTAATCATCAACTTAAAAGATACCGCACCAGGAGGTCGGTATATGCACAACGACATGTCACCGTCTACATGACCTAAGCGTCCACTACAACCCTCCGACTGCTTAGCAAAGAGAATAACCTGAAAACAAACGTAGGCATCATGACGCTGCGATATTCACACCGAGAAAACCAAAAACACAACAAAGGCACCACAATCCTATACAATCCTCCACCTCAGCATAACCACACCTGGGCCGGAGCCAGCGGACTCTAGAAAAAGTCAGAATAGATTTGCACTTATGTTGAAGGCCTTGCGAATAAACACAAGCGTATTTTTTTAATATCATTCTGAGCCCTGGATTATATCCACCGCTATCCTCAGCCTGATGTTAGGAATGTCGCTTTGGCCGATCGGAAATGGAAGTGAATGACCGCGTGCCAAAAAAAAAACGAAGGCGAGCATGAACACACCACAGCTCGACCCGTCCGACTGTTGAGGGACACCATGAACAACCACCTCGGGGTCCGAGAGTTTCAGTTTCGTATGCTGACCAAATTGACGAACCGCTTCGTCTCGGAGGTATTTCGTGAAGTTCGTAATCACTTTGGAAGAAAAGTCGTCATCTTCTTGCAGGAGGGAGTCGTAGTACTCAGTCGTCTGTCGCGGACGCACAACAGTGTCCAATGCACTCCATCTTTATGAACAGGAATGATTAGCATGTCGTAAGAGAAGAGGTTGACATCTTTGGTCCATCTCGCAACCCTATCATGTCGACATCCCCCAGTGACAAGCTTGGTGTAGAAAAAAGGACTGAAAATATAAACAGTTGGACACCCTGGGAACATCGCTTTGCCAACCAAGGCCAAGTAGGACTCCACCACCTCATCACAAAGCCATCCCCCCTAGACAAGAGTCTGAAGATTTTTTCTGCTCAACGGAATAGAAGCAGTCCCTTTGCGAATTGTCGAAACGACCTCGTGGCCGTCGCTGAAATCTCCGCAGACATCGTGCAGCATTCTCAAGCCCGCACCGTTAAGCTCCTGAGTAAGCAACGACAAGCGAGAAGATGATGTTGCCGCAGCTGCACAAACACCCAAGAAAAAGTATGAGCAGTCGTAAAAACCACCGGCGCGAAGTGGTCAAGAATTGTGGGTCCTTTTTCTAGAAAAATTGTAAACTCGACTGCTGAATGTGTTTTTGGCAATGTATTGAGAACACTGGTCTTTGGCAGAACCTGGTCTGGCATCGTCATCAGACCCGCTGGACAAACCAGTAACACTTTCGATAGACGCAGTGATATGTTTCTGCAAAGCTTCCTCCTTATCTAATCCACAAACCTTCAGAACCGTGAGAGCTCTCCCGGAAAGGCGAGGCATCTGGATCCTTTTAAACAACCCTACACTTGACGAGGACTTCTTCGTTAAAGCGGCCAATTACCTCCATGGGAACGAATTTCCGCACATGGCTTGTGAAGGCTTCAGGGGCAGGGACATCGACAACCTCACACCTGTAGAACATGGAAAACAACCCACAACCCAAAGCGTTTATTCAACAAGCGGTAATAGCCACATGAGACCATGATTCGAATCTGGATGACCACAGAGTTGAACAACCACAAACGTGGGAGCGCTACTGTTCAAAAATTTTACCGTGTTCGGGAGTCCTTCGACGCGAACCAGCCTTCTGTCGCGCAACTGTCGCAACGTTCGCGGAGTCGTTAACTAGCTCGATGGCAGCTGAGTCGCTATCCAACTGAACGGTTTCGTGAACCACCATCTCCTGACCGGAACTGAGGGCAGTCGCTTGATCACCTTGTTCCTCACCGCAGCGGGTGGAAGGAGAATCATGACCTTCGCGCTCCGAACCCATCCGAACGGAAACCGGCACCTCAGCGCGGAAAAGTTGAGTTTCCCTGCCGGTTCGTCGCCCTCGTCATCGTCGTGAAGCCGAGCCGACACCTCATCGACAAAAAGTTGAGCTTCCCCCACGGCTTCTTCGCCTTCCTCATCGTAGTGAGAGCGAGTTTCCACCACAGGTTCTTCTTCACCCTCCTAATCCTCACGCTCTTTGCCTTCCACAGACGTCCGCTGACATCCCTCAACGCCACCCTCTTGCGTGGTCTGTGGCGCCCTAGTGTGCAAAACCACGTCGGTGTCTCTGATGCTGAAGGTACTTGCCGACGAGCCTTGGAGAAGCTCTTCACCCCGCTGCACAGCATGCGTCTCCTCCGAAGCACGACCTTCACACCCGCTAGCCCCTGTCTTCAAAACTCCTGCAGCGGGCCCCTCAACAGATGTCATTGTGCTCTGAAGACGTTCACCTTCTTCCAAGAGGTGCAAGAGCAAGGTGTTGTCCTCAACATCACGACACAAAGTCCTCGAAGACAAGTGCGAATCTACTCGCACTTGATAAGACCGCAGGGCGGCGTCGCCTTGTGTGTCGGAAGCTGGACTCCCTTCGCAGTGGCTTCCAGTGCCGCCCGACCCCTTTCCGCCCGAACCCTCTTCGCCGGACCCTTTACCTCCGGAGCCGTCTGATTCCCCCGCGTTTGATCGTTTCTCTCCAGAAGCCTCACCGGCTGACCCCTCATCCCGCAACACACCATGCGTTTCCTATGAGAGCCCCTCTTCCACGAAAACCGTTGTGCTCTTCCTCTCAAAATCGGTGGACGCACCCTCTGAAGCATGACATTGACGCTCTCCATCGTTGGTCTCCACCACTCCTGCACCGAGCCCCTCCTGCACTTTGTTAGGCGACCAGTGTTGAGTCTCCTCTTCCCGATGCACTGCATGCGCCTCCTGTGACAGCTTCCCTTCCCCCGGACGTGTTGTACTCTTGCTTTCCAAGTCGACGGATGCACCCTCCAGAGGACGACTTGGATGATCGCTGGCCTCGGTCTCCAACACTCCTGCGTTGAGACCGTCCACCACCCTGCGAGGTGGCCAATGTGGAGTTTCCTCTTCCCGGCGCATGGCATGCGCTTCCTGTGGCAGCCCGTCTTCCCCCGGATCTGCTGTACTCTTGCCCCTAAGATTGGAGGACGCACCCTCCGAAGCACTCCAAGCATACTCGCTATCCCCGGTTTCCAAGACTCCTACAGCGGGCCCTTCCGGCACTTTGGAAGACGGGCAGTCTCGAGTCTGGGCAGGAGAGAACGGTGGAGAGCAGGGAAACACTGTGTCCAACTCAAGACGCGGGGACCCAAACCTCCCCATTTCTTTGCCCCGCAGTACGGTAGCGTTAGGCGCACTGGTGGCGGACCTCAGGAACTGCGAATGTATTCCGACTTCGCCACGCTCCTCGTCTTCAGGAAACAAAGTCCTTGCAGACAAGTGCAAATGTACTCGCACTTGACAAGACACCATGGCGGTCTCGTCTCGCATGTCGGAGTCTCGCCTGCCATCGAAGTGGCTCTCGGTTCCCCTACGCTCGCGTGTAGTGTACGCTCTGTGCTTTCCGCGTGACCCTTTCCCGCCCGACCCCTTTCTGCCCGAACCCTTTCCGCCTGACACCATTTTGCCCGACCCTTTTTCGTCGGACCGTTATCCGCCGGATCCCTTTGGTTCCGACTTCGTTTCAACTCCGGGTCCCGGGCCTTCTCCTCCGTCACCGCCACCAGCGGGTTCTGAGCCGTCTCCTCTGTCACCTCGTCCGCCGCCTCCCAGAGGCTGCGGCATGCGCCAATCAATGCCACGAGATGGTGTCGTGTCGAGTGCATAGAAAGGCGCTCTAAACTCCAACATTTTGTTCACATACAGCTCGTCGAGCTTTTCGGCTGCGCACGATGCAACGTCCTGAGGGCTCCTTTCCGGGTTCATTACTCTCAAATGCCCCCCAGAGCTTCTCTGGCCTTTCTCTTAAACGGACCCTCGCCCAGTCTGCTGAGACCCCTCCACGTGCCATCGGGTTCCTTCGTTGCCATGACCCACTTTCCTGTCTTAACAGTAGGTTGAAATATCCTTGGGTGCCAAACGACGTTGTGGCCCCAGACATCCTTCATTGTGAACCGGTGGTGTTTCCCATAGAAGAAAAGCCTGTCGTTCTTCCAGGTGTCATGGTCCCTCGGGAGCTTGTCGTCGGGCTCGTAATCATAGTCTTTGTCTTCTTCCCCGTCGTCAGACGATTGGTCATCGACTGTCTCGTGTTCAAACACACGCGTCAAACCGCAAGGGGACACGGTGTATCTCCGACGACCGCCTTCACCTTCATCTTCACCCTGTGCCACCACCCGAGAAAGCGGCATGGACTCGGAACCGAAGGTTTCGGAGTCGCCCAGCTCCTCCATGTCTTCAGCGTCAAAAGGGTCCTCCTCGTCAGACTGCGCCCCGTAGTTCTCGAGGGTCAGTGGTTCACCCATCACGAAGAAAACGTGCTCCAGCCTTTTCAAAAAATTCGACACAGACTCCCTGGGTGCACCGTGGTAACCATTCAGCACACCGAACACCAGGTTTCTCCGTCGATGGTATTCCAAGTTCGTCTGGGCAGGTGGTCCACGTTGGAAAAGGAACTCCCAAACCTCTATCCTTTTGTTCTCCGGTAATTTCCAGTACATATCACGTTTGGGATCCCAGTTCCGCTCTCCAATGTTCTGGACGAAAGAGCAATGGCAGCGAGGGTCCCGCACTCGTGTCTTGACGAACTCGTGAAGGCAATCGATCATCTTCGCCTCGTCCTCCACCGCAACGACGTTCCGACCTCTACGCAGCAGCTCCCACACGACAGATGCATGCGCTTTCCCAAGGAAAAAAACAGTTTGCCCAACTCTGCAAAAGTTTTCGAGCAGCCCGATCAGATGAGTTGGGTTGCGTTCCCTGTCCCCGTATGCAGCTTCCCGAACACTTGTCATGCCGCCGTCCTCCCACTGGCTACGAGGGAACTTGTCCTTGTCTGCGACGTCGAAACAAGCCACAGCCTGCTCTGACGGGTCGACAAAACAGGCAGCTTTCTAGCGCGCCGCCGCCGCGGATTTGGACGGACTTGGACCTTGAGCACGTGGAGGCTTCGATGGACTATTGGCCGGGAAGACTGCCACAGTGTTGTCTGCCAGCTTCTCACCATTGAAAACCACGTACAAACGATCGTGCTCCTCGACCAGCATATTGCCTTCCTGGACAGTGACCTTTCTCTGCGCATGGCGAACTCACTTCATTGTCCTGACGTGATGAACGCTTAGCTTCGCTAGACCTTTCAAGAAACTGAGTTCCCAACGAGAGGGGAAAAACACCACAAGTGCCCAGTGCCTTGGCGACAGGGTTTGTAGAACGCTTTGCAAGGAGGCGAAAGCGTCTTCTTGCCAAACTGAAAGGAGTGTCGGATCACACAAATCGAGGACGTACAAGTTGCAAACGTAATGCCGCACAATCTCGCGGATCTCGGTCAGACGAGTGTGAGCTTGGGAAGGAGGACAACCGGAAGGGATAAGGCTGGTCACCCGGTTGAGCTTGTGCCATTTGATGTGCCTCACATCCCCACTGATCCGGATCGTGTCTTGCACCTCTTCCTCCGTTCGTTACAAGATGGAGCGAACGGACTTTTCGAAAGATTTGGGGAACCTGTCATTATCGTATATTTTCTTCGTCTCTTCCAGGGACTCCTTCTCGTACGGAAGACACCGTTTGCACGTGTTCACGTACTCCACCGCGCCCTGGAAATGCTTCCTCAGCTCGACCCTCTCCTGTTTCATGAGCCCTCGCGGCGCAAACTCCACCAGAAGCTCCTCCTGGTTCCGGAAAAATTGGCTTCCGTTGCGCCAAACCCCCACGTCCTCCTCTAATTCGAGGAACAAGATGTAGTGAAACATGCGGAGCATCACTCGATCAACTTTCCTTGTTGCTACCATGTCCTTAATGTCAGGCTTATGCCGTCGTCTCATATGCTCACCCGCCGATTGCACGAAAACTCCTCTGAGCGCGAGAATGTCCTCGAGGATCGACAGTTTCTCCGCATTGGTCATATCAGCGAGACACTGCCAACAGAACATGTCTGGCTCCTTCACGACGACGAAGAACTTGTCGTCCATTTGCTTTTTCTTTTTGGTTGGAGGCGGCGGGACCCGGACCAGCCATCCCATCTTCGTTTCACCAGCAGCCCCTTTCGTGCCCATCACCGGAATCGCTTGAAGACCCAGAGATTTGTGTGGCATGTATTTGCCAGGCTTTGACAACGACGTCTTCCCGTCGCTGCCCAACAACTTTCCTTCAACCCATTTGCCGTAGAACTCCATGCCTTTGCGGAAAACCTCATCAGCAGCAGTCACGAGCGACATCCATTGCCTCAGCGCGTTCCCAATAGCCGCAACCTTGTCCTTGTCGGCGAGCGTTGTCGGAACTTGTGCCATTCTCCAATGGGCGTCGTTTTGACTCTTCCCCAAAAGCAGCTTTTGGAAGTTGAAAAACGCTTGTTTTTCGGCCTCCTTACCGGAAGGGTTCCCTTGAATAACCAGCGGTCTGTCTTTCTTCTCCCAGGCCTCCCTCATGTCCTCGAAAGCGGCCTTTTGCGATCACTGCTTAGACATTTTGTGTCTGGTGTTCTCCGCCAGACTGACCTGCAAATACCCCCTGAAGTCTTCGTCGGAGAACCACACGACTCTCGCTGGCCACGAGTGCATCTTCCACAATTCGAATATGGGCTCACCGTCCGATGCTTTCACAGCAGCCACGGTGTGTTGTCCATTGACAGAGTAATAGAAGTACTTGTCCTTGTCCTCAGGCCTAAAGTCATCCTTGTGAACCCTCTGAGCTGTCTCCGGGCGCTGTGTCACCGACTCGTAGATCGGTGCCAGAACCAAATGGTTTTTCGTCCATATTTTTTCCTTCTTCTCGTGGAACTGCCTCATCATTGCGTTTTTGATGTCGTCGACATTATCATGAGTGAGACTGCGGTGATTATAATCTCCCTCCCACGCCAGGATGTCGCAGACCTTCCTGGGTCGATGAGCAGTTGTATCGGGGTCTCCTTCTCAACGATATCACCGTTGTCGTTTCGCTCGTATTCGAGCCAGAATGTTGGCGCTTCATCGTACTGCTTGGCAACCACCCTCTCGCCACCACTCGCCCCCTCACCACTCTTCCTCCTCCGACTTTTCTTCTGCCGATCGCCTTCTTCAGCTGCCAATTTCAGTTTCGATTTCTTGGAGGGTTTCCCTGCGACGGGAACGCCTCCACGAGCCGAATCTCTTTCACCCTCAGCTTGCCGCTCGATGGTCAAACCGCCGGCCGTCTTTGTTTTTTTGCGCGTCGTTGCAGTTTCTTAATTCGACTGCCTTTTTCTAACATCTTCTTGTCCTCCACGCATCCTTGGCGTCTTTTTTTCGGTGCCATGTCCCACGACCCTGCCTTCATCCCCGCCAGTCGCAGGCTCGGATGATCCTTTCAACCTGTTCATGTGTCTGGTTTCGTCCGCCACCTCTTCTCGCACCCTCCGCTGTCGCTCGCGATTCTCCTCCGAAGAAGACGCCCCCCCCGCCAGAGCTGTCGCGCACAGCGCCCATCCCTCCAACCCCAATCCCTCCAAGCTCCCGCCCTAAACTACCGGATTATCCTCGAAGCGAAAACGTGTCACCCTGGTAGACAAACGTGAGGATTTTCGGTGTCGCAACCCGGTGAAACCCTGCATCTGGAGAAGTCAATCCAGACGCGCTCCAATGAGCAGCCGGGGCGACCGGCGTCTGACTCCCACCCGCCAGACCCATGCCCTGACCCTCTGTGCCGAGAATGACACTCCCGTGCCCCACTTTCATCATAGGGGTTTCCCGAGGTGAACTGAAAGACCCCTCGTGGGCTGTCAGAAGCCGGAAAACATAATCTCGAGGAAGAATAGGATGCTCTTTCGGCACCTTCAGCGCAAGATCGAGATAGTCCATTGGAGGTGGAAGAGGCCTGCTTTTGACATCGTAAAGCCCTTTGAAGTGATGGCCGAGCAGCATGTTCGAGCCGTATCCAGCGAAAGTCTTGACCGACACTATCACACCCTTAACACCTCTGAAAGGCAGTCTGCAGTGGTCGTACAAGATGTTAGTCTGCAGCTTGAGCAAGCCTCCAGACTGTTTGCGGTACCCGGTGATGGTATCGAGAGGATAAACGTCGGTTGCTCCCGCAACTTCCGGAATGGCAGGGCCCCGCATGAAAACAGTTGGCCCGAGAAGCTCCCGGTCGACAACGAAGTCCAGAAACCATGGTGCATCCCTCGAATGAAAATATGGAGGAGTAGATTGCGGCAAATGTTGTCCCTCCCCGGGGGCAGATGGACCAGTGCTTGTCGATGTGTTCTTCACGGACGCCATTTCACTCCCAATGCGAAACCAATACGTGCAACCCTTGACAAAATCAGATAATCGGAATAAAGCGACGATGTTCGTCTACAAGTTGCGAGAACGAAAACAACACCAGCTTGGCAGCGCGAGTTAGGAGGAAAAAACTCGGGAATCCTGGAGACGATGAGAAAAGCGGCTTGTTTAGGCTGAAGTCCGAACGAACTCACAGTTCTGGAAACGAAGAGCTCTACAACACGCACGGTGTCCGACAAATGCGAACTAACTCGCAATAATGAAGAAAAGACAACAATTCGAGCTCGCAGTTCCGAGAACGAGGAACTGGCTACGCCTAGCGTTCAACGAAGATACGGCTTGTCACAAAGAAAGTGCAAACTAACTCGAAGTTGTCGAAATGAAGACCTGAAACACGCACGACACGCATGCCGACAAGTGGGAACTGAGTCTGACTTGTGGATACGAAGGGCAACGACTCACACTTTTGGAAATGAAGACCTTGCTTTCAGGAACGAGGTGTCTGGAGACGAGTAAACTCGGATTTTTAGATACGCAGGGCTACAACTGCTACAATGCTTTGGTCGCAAAGTGCGAGTTCCAACATCGCTGGGGTAGAAGAACAAAAAGTGCGAATTGATTCGACCTTACAGAAGTGGCACGGACGAGTTCCTATACCCATGCATATATATATATATATATATACATATACATATATATACATCTATGTATTAAAAAAAAATCGGGATTGATTCGTCGTTCGATGAAACCCTGGTGTCCGATCGGGGTCCGAGACGGATATATATATATATACAAATAATATCCTGGCAGATTTGCAGCGTGCAGGTTCAGCCACGACGAGAGGAAATCGAGCCATGAAGCGCAGACCGGCTATGGCAGAGTGTGGTTGAGGGTGAAGCAGAGGTATGAGAACACGGGTGGTGGCGATTACGCGGAACAACAAAACTGAGAATTGATTCGGGGTTGAACATGTGGCGCAGACAGTGCAACTGGGAATGTGTTCGGAAATCAGACACAGATCACGACAGCAGAAACAACATGTCACCTTCAAAGAACTTTGTGTGAACGACTAACGTCGGACGGATATGGATGTACGACGAGCGAACCAGCTATAGCACACCAGGGAAATCGAGCTACGAAAAGCAAACCGGCTCTGTGGAATGGAAGTCGCGCTACGAATAGTGAACCGGCTATGGCGGAAGGACGTGGTGGATGAAGACAAGATGGCACAACGGGCGCAGTGGTGATAGCGCGACTTCGACTATGGAGCTGGCAGACAACAAATGGGATAAAATGAGGGCGGCAACGCCTTTTATACTTTTTCGCCTAGGCATCACGTCGGGACCAAGGAGGCTGCGGACAAGGCTTTTCAATTCACCGCTTGTTCGCATATCGCATGCCAGGGCGAATAGGACGCCAGGGCCTATAAAACGCCAGGCCCTATAAAACGGCAAGGAGAGGTTGGGACTCGAAAGGTCAGAGGTACCGCCAATTGCTGGTCGTCGATTAACAAGTGTCGACGGCGCAGATCAAAGAAACCACTGGCATGCCAGAGGCCCTAAATTCTCCACCAAATCCGGCATGCAGTGATATGACACTTCCGGGAATTACGAGACAGTCCATGTCAGTTTTGCTGTCGAAGTTTCGGTTGTCGATCGTCGTGATCCGACGTACAAAGTGGAGCGTCGTAACACCCCAAGGTCAGGCGCAGTAATCACAGCGCAACCATTCGTTGCGCACCAAGGCCAGGCGCGATGGTTCGTTGCGCATCGCGGCACAATTCCGAGCGCTCGCGAAAACCCAGCGCGGCGGTTCGTTGCGCTCCAACATCAACACACGAGACCGACAACATGTGGTCTGGCATTGTGCCGCACAACATGTGGTCTGGCATTGTGCGCTCCAACGTCAATACACGAGACCGACAACATTGTGCAAATGTCAACGGCGGTGGATATCGGACGTCCGCAGTCGCGCCATTTCGAATCAACGCAGTGCTTGCAAACTAAATCACGTTCATTCCCGCTGTCGCCATCGTCGTCGCCATCGATGTGCTGAGCTCTTCACCATCGCTGCGCAGAGCTATATCCTTCATCGCAGCGCTGGCAATCGTTATCGCTCTCGCTACCATCGCAGCGCTGGCCATCGTCATCCCCTGAATTGTCACGCCATCTCTCTCCATCGCTATCCCTGCTATCGCAGCGCTGGTCATCGCTATCGTTACTATCGCACTGGTGGGCTATCTCCCGCGCGTTGCGCCATCTTTCTCCGGCAGGGGCTATCTCCACTGTTGCGCAGCCCCTCTCCATCTTTCTCCATCTCTCTCCATCGCTTAATCTCACTTCATCGCTACATCTCTCTCCATCGCTCAATCTCTCTCCACCGCTATCGTTGCTATCCCAGTGGAGGGTCATCTCCCGCACCATCTCTCTCCATCGCTGCACCATCTTTCTCCATCTCTCTCCATCGCTCTTCATCTCTCTCCATCGCTGTCCATCGCTCTCCATCGCTGCGGTAATTCTTTCCACCACACTCTTTCCATCGCTGCTCGATCTCTCTCCATCGGTGCGCGATCTCTCTCCATCGGTGCGCCATCTCTCTCCATCGCTCCATCTCTCATCGCTCGTGCGTGACCTGCCTCCATCGTTGTGCAATCCCTCTCCATCGTTGCGCGATCACTCTCCATCGCTGCTCGATCTCTCTCGCTACGCCCGTGCTTTCCATCGTTGCGCGATCACTCTCAATCACCACCTTACTATCGTGGTAGCCCGTCGTCGGTGCAGCCGCCCGTCATCGTTGAATCGCACTAAAAAGCATCAGGTATGAGTAATTAAGGTCTAACACGACGGATATAACAGTGAGTAAGCTGATTTCAAATTGATCTCAGATGCATCATATATAAAAAACTAGTGAGAAACGTGACGGCCCTGCTCTCTCGGCACACCAGATCTCTCCATCGGCTCGTAATCGCTGACCGTCGCTGACCATCGCTAACCATCGTCGCACCATCGCTAACCATCGCCGCACCAGATCTCTCCATTGATGACCATCCCTCGCCATCGCTACACCACATCTCTCTATCTGTGCGCCATTACTAATCATCGCTGTGTCTGCTTTCTCGATCGGCGCCCCATTTGTGCGCCATCACTAACCATCGCTGCGCTTGCTCTCTCGATCGGTGAGCGATCTCTCTCCATCATTGTGCCATCTTTGTGCATCTATCTCCATCGCTGCGCCATCGCTAACCAAACGACCCATTGTATTGCCGTTGTAGTCCGCCATCGGTGTAGCCGCCCATCATAGTCAAATCGTACGAGACATGATGTATGAAGGCAGTTTTGAACTGATCCCTGATGCTATATGTAAACAAACATACGGTAGACGATTCAGAAACGGCACACTAACGTGGCAGCCGGATATGGATGGAGTTGCCTATAAACTAGCTAATTGGCAGATATAGTTGTAGTTGTGAGATACGTGGATTGGAGTTGCCTATGTATAAGAATGTTTGTCGGATATGCCTGCAATTTCGAAATCGAAATGAGTGTGGTGAACAAGTTCGAGTGAATTCGCGCTTCTTCTCGGCCAGGAAAATGAAGTCATTTTCCATGCGCGAATTCACTCGCTCTTCAACGAACTAGGAAACTAATTTCTTACTACACGGCGGATAAGTCCGAATAAACTTGCACTTGCACTCTCAGTTTCAAAATCTCATTTCAAGTGCGAATTTATTCGCTCCTAAACAATCCAGGTCCCTGAATTTCTTACTGTACAGTGGGAATGCTCATTTCAAGTGCGAATTTTTCGCTCTTGAACCAACCAACAACCTATTCAAGTGCAAATTTGTTCGCACTTACATTCAATGTGCGAGTCTATTTGTCGTTGAAGCAACCAGGAATCTATTTGCAATTGTATAGGGCATAAGTTCGAATCAACTCGCACTTGTGATCTCCCCTAAATGCGACGCACTTTTCTATGTGCGAATTTACTCGCTCTTCAACTGGCCTGGAATCTTGTTTCTTACTGTTTGGTGAATGTGCGAATGAACTCGCACTTGTACTCTCGCCGAATGATCATCCGAGCTTATTTGTTGCTGAACCGACCAAGATTGTATTTCCAACTTTATGTTGCAGAACTCGGAGCCAATGGGCACTTCCGGTGTGCCCTAAATGCGACAAAACATCCGTGCTCTATGTGCGAGTCAGTTCGGTCTTACATTTTTTGTGTATGATGAATCTGTGTATCGAATGGCGCGCACTTGCACTCTCGCCTAAATGCAAGTACGAGGAACTTCGCACTTGCGCTCTCGCATAAAGGACCTCCTACGCAGGAGTGACAATCAACTAATGTCGGAGAGAAAGTGCGAGTTCACTCAGACTTCCCCAAACCACTTGCACATTAAATTAGCTGTAAGGAAAATAATCCTTCACTAAGACAGCTTGACCTTTGAGTCAAGGTTTCGAAGTGCCACAAAAGTCCCCGGTTGTTTAAAGAGCGAATAAAATCGCACATGAGTAGATTACACGACCGTGAGAGAACGAAACTCATTCAAAAAACTATTGTTTCATTGTTTTGTGATAAATATTACAAATGTGAGTTTGCTCCCTCTTGTTTATAACGTTGACGTGATTTTCTTGTTGTACAGTTTTCGTGCGAATCGTCTCGTCAAATGGGTGTCCAGCGCGGAGAAGACAATGTTCGAGAACGTAGTTCTTGTGACAGCAGTCCGGAAGCTCTCTGCGAACAGCCTCGTGATTTGAAAAAAGAGTTCTTTATGTTGACCCCGACGAATCGTGTGGACTCCTCAATGACGTCCAGTCGACGTCGTATTATTCGCTTTCCCGACGTTCCAGACGGTCAGCGCATATATACTGCGCTAATCGCCGATAGTGAGAATGATAGGGATATGCACACGATTCCCGATGGATTGATGTTCGTCGACACAGATTTATGTGGTGTGTCCGAAACGACTGGATCAGATCTCGTGCGGATGACCGGTCGGTTGTGTGAAAGCATTGAAGTTACCCAACTACTGACGTTTGACTATAGTTGCTCGTTGGTAGACACTGACTTTTGCGGTACGCCTGATAGAAATGGATCTGCTAGGGAGCAGTCCGACACGTTCGATAGAAACGGGTTTGACAGGGAACACGCAGCGGAACGTTCGGGTGAAAATGCCGAGACAGGTAAGGCAATTCCAATCGAATCTATAAAAATTGACTCTCCAATGGGTTTGTTGAGTACGCATGTCCACGTATATGCTCCATCGATGGCAGCCACGACTGCGACGAGAAATTGGCAGATTGGTTTCGTAGACACAGACTTCTACAGTTCGTTCGAGTCCTCCCGGTCTGATCTGCCGAGGATCGCTCCCGCCGGCAGATCTGATTTTATAGATGTAACTCAGCGGTCCCTGGTTGCGACTCATCCTGGAACTCCCGAAGCAGTTCGTTGGGATTTGTCTCATCCCCTCCCTGGAGAAAGGAGAAGATATAATGGAAAAAGTAGGCCGAATAGAAAGTCGAAACATTCGAAGAGGGCCAAATGTTGATTGAATGAAACTAACATTGCGCTCGTCCCAACACACAAATGTTGTAAGAACAAGTACCTTCGGGTTTTGACCATTGACGATATTAAACCAATGCGCGAAGCTTACTATGAAATGTCCCTCGAAAGGAGGATCGAGTGGTGGATGCAAACCCTGGACAATTTCACTGTCCTAGACGGTGGTCTGGAAAGAATCCAGCCAGTGTAGTGCAAGCGCCGTGTGTGTATTGCCGGTTTGTGTAAAATAATTGGGATATGTTAAAACACATACCGTCGTTATAGCAAGTGCAAGTCCAACGGGGTAGTCCGTGGCCGGCATGGTCGATGGGGATTGTTGAACTCGAGACCAGAGTCTGTGACCATGCTGGCTCATGTTACAAGGTTCGTGGAAGAACATGGAGATGCTATGCCAAACGATATGGTTGTGAGGGGGACCTCGCAACGACCTAGAGTTAGGCTTCCTGCTTATTTCACGAAGCTCTTTGTCCACGAGTCCATCAAGGCGGACTTGTTAGCGGCGGGTCAAAATGTCGTTTCGGAGCAAGTCTTGTACTCCATATGGAGGAAGTACTTGTGGCATGCCGACCTTGCCAAATCCAACTCGTTCACGAAGTGTGGCGAGTGCGTCCGCCTGCCATTCGCCTTTGCGACCGTAAGGATTTCGATGAAAAGCACCTTAAACACCAACTAGATCACGTCGCCTACCATGCGGATTATGCTGACTGGAAACTTCGCTCCATTTTGAGCCCCGCGGAATACCTCTGTCTTATAGTGAACGGAATGAATAAAAAAAAACAACCATTCCTCACATCGGCATGTATAATTACTCCAAGGATCATCGACACGACATGATGATGAAAACGAACCTCACCGTAGTTATGGCTCACGACAGGAAACCGTCCATTTATGTTTACATGTATCTGCCTTTCTATGTGCACGGTTCCGATGGTACGAGAACGTGCGTTATGCGGACTCTATGTGAGTTGTAGGCGTCTGGACAGAAATGGCCGCGCCACCTCCAAATTCAGGCAGACAACTGCTGGAGGGAAAACAAAAACCAATACCTTATGTGCTTGGCCTCACTTCTTGTGAAATTCGGGATTTTTTAAGATGTGGAAGTGGGGTTCATGCTCGTTGGCCACACGCATACTGACATAGACACTACTTTTAGTGTTTTCTCGAAAAAGCTGAAAAACAACGATGCATACACCATGAAGCAGTTGTTCTCGCTTATCGAGTCGTCGCACAAGATACCGCTGAAGTGCATTGAGCTCGATCACTTTGCCAATTGGCGCAGGGTGGTGGATCGATACGTCGATAAGAGCATCGTCGGCGTGTCCAAACCGCACCTCTTCAAATTCTTCATGCGGGACGGTAGTCTCATCATGGTGTACAAAAGTACTGCACTGATACGGAATGGAAGCCGAAAGGCAGACCAGTTCGCTGGTTCCCGTTTGTGGATGGAGAATATGCAGGTCCTACCTCCCCTCCACAACCATGTGTTATTCCGCGTGTCGTTAAAGAGGATTTTCGGATGGCTCGTGACGGTGTCCAAAAAATTTTGGACGTCCTCGAACAACATAGACACATGTGGCAGACATATAGGAAGGAGGAGGTCGAAAAGCGGGAGGATGCTTTGTCCTACTGCAAAGCCATCTTCGTTGAGGCGGACGATATGATGCAAGAGCAAAGAAGAAGGAGAAGGAAGAGGGTGAGGAAGAGGATGTCCTCGAGGCGAACGAGCTCGAGATCTACCCTCACACCTTCTGGCCACAATTAGTGGAAACTGTGGTCGAAGTTAAAGAAATCGACCCTCCTTCGCCAAGCGCTTCGCTTGTTTATGTCGGACTGAGGGCGGGTCGTCCGAAGGTGGACTTCGACCCTCGGCGCCATATAACCAAAGGGGATTTTGTAATTTTTACACCACCCAATGAGGAACTGACTCAAGGTGTCCCGTTTTGGGTTGGAAGAGCACAGTTTGAGGTTGTCGACGACCGCTCGTCTCCAAATTTTGGTTGTTTATGTATACAGTGGTGGATGCCTACAGGGCACTCGTCCGATCTTCGCGAAAGGTACTTCGGCGCTTGGACGAAGAGGTGGAAACTTTCCACTTCTGACGAGGAACAATGGCGACGCGCTGAAACAGTGGCTTATTCCTGGAGAAGACCCTTCCGCAAAAGAACGAATGAAAACAAATTCGTGACAGGACTTACAATACCTGCATCCGTGTGCGAGAAAGCACTTGTGACCCTGGGCGACAGCTGTCTTTCCGGTCCGTCCGACGTGCCCATTTAGTTAAATGTGAACTGATTCGGATTTGTTAGCCACCAACTCCGCAAAGATAATGACCAGGCGTTAACTGCGAACTCATTCCCATTTCTTGTCCTGCAGGATGGATGAGGACAACACACCATCGTGCGACGTTGTATACGAGACAACGTCCTACGAAACCTCGTCGTATGCGAGCGAGTATTCCTTATCGATCGAGAATGTGGACAGGGATCTTATCATCATGAACAAAAATATTTGGGCACGAGGAATGGTCAGTCTTGACAACGATTATATGCATGTCGAAGCCGGGGGCGGCCTCGACGGTTACATTGAGCCCAAAACACGTGTTATTGATGGACAAACTACAATAGTTCGAGATAGAGGGTCGAATATGTGGTACCTCTACTGGAGTTCAGAAGAGGTCGGACTCTGGGAAGTTTCATCCAGTCAAGAGGAGAACCTTCAACTCGACAGTATGCTCGATGCATGAGACTCACAAGACTGGGATTGTATGGACGAACAACATGCCAAACTGTGCGCTTGGTACTGCATCGGGAAGTCGCAATTGCATTTCCGTGTGGTCATAGACTGGTATGGCCGAGCTCGTTTGTTCAATCGAGGCACCCCTGTACTAACTCTTTTCACGGAGGCCAAGCTTGACGGCAAGCGAATGAGAGCTTTCTTCCTTGTGAGGGAAGACTTTCGCGAGCACACATCCGCGGGTGTTCTGAAGCGCTTCCGTGATCGATTCGAAATAGATCCCTCGCTCGCAAAAGAGTTGAATCAAAGGGTTGACTGTTTGGTGCATGCCCAACTTCACTTCCTTTACGGATTATGTGAGGAGATATTCTTCACGTTGGAACACAAGGGCAACTACATTGACTACACTCTACAAAAAGTTTCGCATCACCGTTCGGGTGTCCAGACATTGGAATTCGTAGGTGGTAGGACGAGAAAGATTTGCGACTGTCCTTACTGTGACGATGGGCACGAGTCGCCTTGAACTACTATGTGACCGTTCCTATTTGCAGATTTTCACAACTCCGAATTAGTTCGTATTTTGCTGCTATACTGTTACGAAATCTCGTTGTTCATCGACGACCTCGTTGTTCACATTAGTTAGAGTTAACTCGTAATTGTTGTCACTGTTTCCACCCCGTGGGTCTGCTTTTTTCGCTTTTTCTGACCTTCGCACAATCGGGAGCACGAACACCCTGCAACGAAGTGCAAATATGTTCTTAGTTATCGGATCCCCGGTAGGCCATTTTGTTCCTCCTTTCAGAGGATGTTTGGGACTTCACTTTGTTATGAACTGGCAGAAGTGGGAGTATACTCGCAGTTGCCATTCCCGTTAGACTCACTGTGCCTCATCGTTTACATGCCACCTCATTCTTCCTCCCACATTGCAGCATGAACTCCAACCAGACTTCGGCCCGCACAAGTACTTCCTGCTCGTCCCACGATGCCGTTTCTTGAAACCGGATTCCCGACCTCGAAAGTCACGTCGTTATTGTCATGTGCAGTGCTCACCCTCGTTTCCTTTACTTGATCTGTCCCTTTCGACATACTCCCCCCATCCATGTGTCGTATGGTTCACGCACTCCCATCATCTCTAACGGGACACTAATTGCTTCGACACGTGATGCAGGATGAACTCCAACCAGACTTCGAGTGTTTGCAATTCGCGTTAACCGAGCCAGTCGGGTAGTTGTTCCTCTTCATGCGACGTCTCACTGTTTCCCTCAGAGGATCTCATTATTTTGAATAAAAATATATGGGAGAACCATCTCATGAGCATTGACCCCCAATATTTGCATATTGAAAGCGATGTCGCGTCGGACGGGCAAATCTCTATGCGTGTAACGTTTGACAATGACGGTCAAATTGTGGTCGCTTCAGATAATGGGTCGAACTTCTGGTACCTATACTCGTTGCAGGAAGAGGTTGAGGTTGAGGCAGACCCTGGCGGCGGCGAGGAGGATGATAAGGAGCCTGAGGACGTTATCGCTCCAACGGAGGTGATTGACGCTTGGAACACGCTTTGTGCAATCCAATGATGACCAACCCAAGACAGGAGCCACGTAAACCTATGTGCATGGTTTTGCCTTGGGAGTCCGGATTTGCAGACCCCAGTCATCGTCGACTACTATGGTCGAATTCGGGTGTTGAATCGCAATACTACAGTTACTACGCTTTTTTCGACTGTCAAGGTCGATGGTTTGAAAATGAAAGCTCACTTCGTTGTAAGGGAGGACTACCGAGGTGTCACCCTCAGTCACGCGGAAGCGTTCCACAACCCGACTCTTGCTGGTGCTCTAGGGCGATTCAGAACTCGGCTATCCGTAGATGCGGCTCTTACGAAGGAGCTGAAGTTAAGGGTCGACTGTTCGGTACACAGTCAGTTGCACTACCTTTTCGATAATTGCGACGACATATCATGGATAGTCGAATATAGGGATCACAACATGGAGGTGGTTTTCCATAAACAACACTACTACCGGTCGGGTGCTAGAAAGGTGGAACTGCTCCCCTGTGCTTTGAGCAAAGTATATGATTGTCCTTACTGTGAAGACGGGCATCCCTGGTAGTCGTTTCCACTATTCCTTTGATTAGGTGTGTCTTTGCACAATTGGGAGTGGGAGTACACTCGCCGTATCCATTCCTGCTAGACTACGTGTGTTCGTTTTCACTTCGCTTGTACCTTGCACAAGTGGGAATACGGCCACCCTGTCACGAAGTGCGAACATATTCTCAGTTATCTGACTCCGAGTAGGCCGCTCAGTTGCTCCTTTTACTAGATGTGTGTGCCTTCGATTCATTATGAACAGGCATAAGTGGGAGTATAATCGTAGTTGCCATTCCTGCCAGACTCCGTGCGCGTTGTCGCTAACATGCTACCTCGTGCTTCCTAACGTAATGCAGGATGAACTCCAACCAGACCTCGGCCCGCGCAAGCGCTTCTAGCTCGTCTCACGACGGCGTCTTGCCAGACCGGATTCCTGATCTCAGTCTCTTCATTTTGGACAAGAATATATGGGAGTATGAGCGAGTGAACTGTTTACGCCAATATCTGAACATCGAATCGGATGTTGCGCCAGATGGGCAAGTTCCCGTGATATTGAGGATGGGCGCCACCGTCGATGACCTTGTGGTCGATAGAGATATGGGTTGGAACTTCTGGTACCTATACTCCTTGGAAGACGAAATTGATGTAGAGCCCGTCGGCGAGGAGGGAGATCCAGAACCTGCCACTCCTGAAGAGATGACGGACACGTGGCGCGTCCTCTGTACAAAGCAGAGATGGTCAGACCCCGACAGTAGGCACGTAAAGCTTTGTGTCTGGTTTTGCTTGGGACAACCGGTTGTGCCTGCACCGGTCATCATAGGTTATTACGGTCGCATTCGGGTATTCAACCCTAACATGACAGTCGTGACGCTGTTCACGACCGTGAAGATTGACGGTCAAAAGATGAAAGCGCTTTTCATTGCAAGGGAGGAGTTCCGAGGAGTTACCCTCAATTCTGTGCAAGCGTTTCGCAGCCCCACAGTCGAGGGTGCGCTCGGACGCTTCAGAGATCGGTTATCGCACGATGCGGCATTAAGGAGGGAGCTCAACTTCAGAGTCGACTGTTTGGTGCACTCTCAGTTGCACTATCTTTTCGATAACTGTGACGAGATTTCTTGGAAAGTGGAACATAGGGACCACAACTTAGAGGCTGTTTTTCGAGAGGAGGAACATCGTCTGTCGACGGCCCGTGATGTGAACGATTGTCCGTACTGTCGCAACGGACATCCTGAATACCTGTAAGGAAAGTTGTCCTCACTACGAGAGCAGTCTGCCCGTTCCACATGAATGACGTGTTGGGAATAAGTCGAGATTAAGCGGCGGTTGCTGAACTTGCGCTCTCTTACGAAGTCCGAATCTATTCTCACTTACCAAACCACGTCAATTATGTGCGGAAAATAAGTCGAGATTAAACGGTCGTTATCGTAGAGCTCGTCCGCGAGGAGGGATATCAAAAACCAGCCACTCTCAAAGAGATGACGGACACATGGCATGTCCTCTGTGCGAAGCAGAGATGACGTCGTAACGAAACTTGCACTCTCTTGTGAAGTGTGAACCAATTCCCAGTTATCGAACCCTTTCGTGCATCCAACAACATCGTGTATTTATTTTTTTTGCACTCGGTTATTTTTTATGCACTTCGAAGAATCGCAACTGACGCGCTTCCTTGCATTTCTCCACTGATGTAGAATGAATGTTGATACTTCGTCGTAGAGCAGGAACTCCTCACCGCCAGACTTCGATCTCATCATTTTGTCAAAGAATATTTGGGAAGACACCGGGTGTTCTGGTGTGGACCACGACTACCTGCACCTCGAATCTGATGTTGCCCCCGACGTGGAAATCCCTTCGTGGCAAGGTGCGGAAGAAGGACACCTTCGGATTTGTTGTGACACGGGGTCCAACTTTTGGTACCTGTACACTTTGACGAAGGATGTACACGCATGCCCTGTCGGGTTGGAGTCAATTCTAAAGAGAGAACCCGTCGAAGAGGAACCAGTCCAAACTTCTGAGATAGTGGAAGCATGACACATTTTATGTGAAAAACAAAAGTGGACGTCGTCGAACAAGTTGCATCAGAAACTTTGTGCCTGGTTTTGCCTCGGGAAACCGACCTGGTCGGCGGCGGTAATCATAGACTACTTCGGTCGAGTGAGGGTGTGTAATCATGACACCACAGTGGGTCAATGCTCTTCACTGCCGTGAAGGTGAACGGTCGAAAAATAAGAGTTTTTTTCCTCGTAAGGGAGGAATTTCACGGTGTCAAACTCACTTCGTTTCAAACATTTTACACATCCGGGCTTACTGGTTCCCTTGCACGGTTCAGAAACAGGCTATCCATAGATCCTGCACTGAAGGATGAGCTGGGTTTGACGGTTGACTGTTTGGTGCACCAACAACTCCACTACCTCTTTGATCGCTGCGATGATATAAATTTCACAGTCAAACAAAGGGACAAGAAATTGCGATTTGTTCACCGTCGTTTGCAATATTCAGCCTCCGGACCTCAGCATGTGATACTGCGCAACGGAAAGATGAGATATGTGTGCGACTGCCTTTACTGCGATGCTGGACATCTACATCTTCAATAGCGGCATTCTAAATTTATGGCTTCATGTTCTCTTTAGTGCGGATAGACTCGCACTATGCTTCCATCCCATTCAATTTCATGTCTGCCCCCTTGCTTATCGCTCCTTCATTTTACCCCATCCCATTGCGTATCTCTTGTTAGATATACCCCATTGTATGAAAAACTCTCTGTCAAGTGCAAGTTTATTCGCACTTTGCCAACATCAGTCTGTATCAACATCGTCGTCTGCCCACCTCTCTGGGCATGACTAGGCGTTGTTACCTCTTCCGATGCGGGATGTCGTCCAGAAGTGTGAGTGGGACAGTTGTTGTCAGAGACCTCGGCTACTGCAAAAGTCTGCGAAGGATAGTCATCGTCTCCAGACGTTTGGAATCCATATGCGAATAGACTCACATTTATCGCCTTATGGTTTCAGCAATGGGTCTGGCCCTGTCACGCTGTTGATATCGTGTCGGGCTTGGATGAGCTTTTGTGCGGGACTTGTGTAGACAGGTGAACATCGTGTCGGGCTTGGATAAGCGTTTGTGCAATGTAGGACTTCAGCATGATTTAACTTTTGTATAGGTTTTCGGCTTGAATCAGTTTTTGTGTAGGATTTCGGTTGAACTTGTGTTTAACATGTTCGTATTTGAGGTACGGCTTGTTTCTGGTATAATGTAGGACTTTTCGGCTCCTGTTGGACTTGGGTTGAGCTTGTGTTCGACATGCTCGTCTTTAAGGTATGACTTCTGTTTTCGTGGCTCTGGCGGCGAGGGCGTGTCATGTAGACTGTATGGAAGCGTCTTGTAGATGAGGGCGTGTGGTGTACACTGTGCGGCGTCGATGTGCTGCTTGATTTTTTTCGAAGATATCTACAGTCGCGTGTTGTGTAGACTAGGGCATAGGTCATTCGCATGTTTGCTCTCGGCTCCATGAACTTTGCGACGTGGGCTTGAATGTTTTTTTGGAAAGCCCACCTTCATCTTTATGAATGTGTCCTTGCATGATTTTTTGAAAGGCTCTGTGTACTTTACAATGTGGGAGTGAATGATTTTTTGCAGTGAATGAATTTTTAGAAACGCCTATGTGTACTTTGCAATTCGCCATTGAATGATTTTATGCATTTCATGATATCCGGAAACTCTCCGTGTGGTGTACAACTTGACCTTTACAAAAACACTAGGCATCTTGCAGGTGTTTCCATCTCAATATTTGTGATGACAAGAGTTAATTACATGAATGGATATTATGTGTCTTGTCCACGGAAAGATTTGATGATATTTTCACCCGGTAACTAACTAATGACAAACCAGCGTCCATAATTAATCACCACGATGTCGGTGTGCGCACCCAACTCTCCATCTAAGTACGAGTTCACTCGCACTTGTGGTGTGAACGCCGAGCAATCCACTTAAGTGACAGTGCATCTAACTGCGATGACAACAGTGAATGTCATGAATCTATATTAAGGAGTCGTCCATGCAAAAATTTGATGACGTTTTCAACCGGGAACATACAATACACATTTCGTTAAAAGTGAACCTTTTGATTGTTCAGTGACACTTTTTGTAACAAAGCCGGAATTCATGTTGGAGTGACATAAATAAGAATAAATCGAAACAATCATTGGTAAGTGTTGCTAAGTGGGCAGTGATATAGGTCAACTGCCATCGCTTGGAGTACTGGACCCATCACACACACACACACACACACACACACACACACACCCCACCCAACTCCAACCACCCCAGCACACCAAGGGTGTTCGAAGGTCTCCCTTGTAGGCTATCTTCACGGTAGCCTTTTAAAGCGGCCTTCGCTCGGCAACTCAGAATAAACTCCAGGTTTGTTCGAGTGCTCCGGGCCCATCAACATGCAAATTGTGCGCTTGATTATGGGCACTGCATAGTTCGTAGTGAGCGGGATACGTGCTTCAGCCCCCCCCCCCCCCCCCCAGTCCGCCGGTTTGCAAGCCGGACCGCATTATATGAGATTGCAATTGTATTCGATCACCCATGGCATACCCGTTGTCGACCCCTTTTAGCAAAAAGGTTCGGGCATCGGACATTATATGAGATTGCAACGGCGGGTTCTTAGGGATGGTGGCGAGTGGAGGCCGTTGTTGATATGTTGTTTTCTGTTGTTTCGTGTGTGTGTGTACACGTTTTATTTTTAATACTATGTTCGTAGTGCGCCGGTTCGCGTGCCGGTTCGCTAGCCGAACCGCATTATATGAGATTGCAACTGGATTCGAACACCCATGACATACCCGTTGTCGACCCGTTTTAGCAAATCGTTTCAGGCATCAGACATTATATGAGATTGCAACGGCGGGTTCTTAGGGACGGTGGCGAGCGGAGGCAGAAACACAAGGGGGGGGGAGAGAGAGAGAGAGAGAGAGAGAGAGAGAGAAGAGAGAGAGAGAGAGATAAATAGAGAGAGAGAGAGAGAGAGAGAGAGAGAGAGAGAGAGAGAGAGAGAGAGAGAGAGAGACTCTAGTTGAATAATGAGTCAATTCGCAGTTATCGAGGTTGATGTCAGGTCGTGATCTGTTTGGTGACTGACCACCTTTAAGAAGTGGCAGACCACCTTCAAGAAGTGTCAACCTTCACGAAGTGCCAAACAGTCGGCGGTCAGAGGACTCCAGTGCTAAAAGCATTCTTAGGGGACCTTGCAGTCGTGTTCAGAACATATTGGCGTAGCACTAGATGCTCACCAAGCAGTTCTGGATGTCGGTTATATTGACTCATCATAAGATGCCTTACAAGCAAGCAGCGGCTGCTTGCAGGACCTTCTACCCGGTATGAATCTTTGAGAGCAGAGTTTTGCACTCCACCGTGAGATACACATCGGATAGGTGGACCTGCCATCCTACCATTGTTAGCTGTAGTCATGTTGAGGGAGTCGATGAGGTGAGGACCCGGCAAAGAAAACTCTTAGGGGACTTTGCTGCCGTGTTTTTGGAACTTATCGGCGTAACAATAGATGTTCACCAAGCAGTTCCGGATGTCGGTTATATCGACAAATCATAAGATGCCTTACAAGCGAGCAACGGATGCTTGCAGGACCTTCTACCCGGTGTGGATCTTTGAGAGCATAGTTTCGCACTCCACTGTGAGATCCACATCGGATAGGTGGACTTGCCATCCTACCGTTGTCAGTTGTAGTCATCTTGAGGGAGTCGACGAGGTGAGGACCCGGCAAAGAACACTGCTAGGGGACTTTGCTGCCGTGTTTGGAACATATTGGCATAGCACTAGATGCTCACTAAGCAGTTCTGGATGTCGGTCATATCGACACATCATAAGATGCCTTACAAGCAAGCAGCTACTGCTTGCAGGACCTTGTATCCGGTGTGGATCTTTGAGGGCAGAGTTTCACACTCCATCGTGAGATCCACATCGGATAGGCGGACCTGCCATCCTACCGCTATTGGCTGTAGTGCTCTTGAGAATCGATGAGGTGAAGACCCGACAAAGAACACTCTTAGGGGACTTTGCTGCCGTATTTGGAACTTATTGGCGTAGCACTAGATGCTCACCAAGCCGTATTTGCAACTTATTGGCGTAGCACTAGATGCTCACCAAGAAGTGGCCGTGTCAGAGATAGAGTGTAGCGTGTGTGTTGTTTGAGTGTAGAGTACCGCGTGTAGGATATCCTGGGCGATCTGGTGTGTGTGAACAGTAAGTTGTTTGTCGCTGAGTTGCCATTGCCAGTGAAAGTGAACTCTCATCTGAATGCCATGTCTCTGAGTATTGATTGGGCGCATGGTGCCAGTTTGCTGCGCTACTGTTTGCATGCATGATAGTTGTGATCAAAAGCAAGCCTGATTTTTAATAATAATAATAATAATAATAATAATAATAATAATAATAATAATAATAATAATAACAATAAACATAATAATCAAGGAAAGATGAGCAATAGCGAACTTCAGCAATCAAACAACATTATACTCTCGCGGCCAGATAGTCGTGACCTCAAACCAACAACAGAATTGCATCACGAGTTTCACCCAATGAGAGCACAACAAAAGTTCATGGTTGACAATGCTGAAATAGTCTCATCATCATCAACGAAGGACTAATGCTGGTATCCTTTCTGGCATACGGAGCCCAGACTACAGATGGCAGATCCTATCTTGGCCTAAACTGTAATGTCGAAGTTGACGACAACAGCTCCCCGGAGTACGTGCAGATCTCGGACAATGCCGCACGTGTCAAGCACCAGGTATGTCTCCCGTCTCACTCACAACCTTGATCCCTGACTCACAGATGCCCCATGCCCCCAAGGACAAATATGCACCTAATAATAATAATAATAATAATAATAATAATAATAATAATAATAATTAATAATAGTAATGAAAATAAGTAACAGCGGGATGACAATCCAAGATCACACCATCACATTGAAAGCTAAATCGTGTAACAGTACTCAGAAGAAGCATTGTACCGATGGATTGCCAATAGAAAGCCGTAATACTGAAAGACAGTGTCAGTGAGGGCTTGCTCTCACCACCACCAACATATGTATCCAGACACTCCCCCCTTCCTTGTTCAAGTGGGAGATTCGTTCGACCTTTGCTCTTCCTCCATTCCCCCTTTTTCCCGGTGGAACGCACCTGCGCTACGATCCTTGTTAGATATCATCAAAGTGGGTGGATGTGGTGATCGATCTCCTTTTTTGCGGCTGCTTTCTTCTCCTTCCGATCCCACTCCTCCTTCCACCTCTCCTTAGTCTCTCCTCCATCCTTCAACTCTCCTCCTCTACCCCCTCTTTCTCTCTTGATTCTGCCTAACTTCTTTTTCTTTCTTACGAGCTTACTCGAGCACACGATCATGCCATTGGCCATGCTCATGCCCGCCTTCATACCAGCTTCCGCTACACATTCGTTGCATGCTCGTATCCTTGCCTGCTACCCAACTCGCTATCCCTCGCGCTCGTTTTTCCTCGTGTTTTTGCCTCGGCGTTCGCGTTCTCCTCTACTCCCACCTCTGCCTTTCGATACTGTTCCCGCAGGCTTTCATATGCCTTGATTTTCACTTTGTTGTGATTCGTTATCATCTTTCACTCGATGAATCTGCCTCTTTGATTAAGGGCAGATTCATCCCCGTCATTTTATTAATACAAGGAAAGACATATATATTTATATATATATATATATATATATATATATATACATTGTCGGGCCCGCACGTCTGCCTGCGTGCTCGCTGGCTTGAGTGTGTGGGTAACCAGCAAGGGCACTTGGTTGGTCGGAAGGTTCGAAGGGCGGGTACTTACCTTAGCTGCGTCATTTGAGGGTCGCGGTGGGAAAGTTACAAGGTAGCGGGGTAAACCCGCACACTTAGAACGACAGGAAAACACTTAAGTAGCAGGTAGTCCGGTACCACACCGAGTAGACATGCCGGGTACTCGAGGCCGATCAGAAGAAGACGAAGTAGGCATTTCCAGAGGCCCGGTACCATCAGGTAGGCGGGCACCGGTTTCCAGTAGTACGAGTCTAGGTCCTGTGCGGATGATATCAGAGTCTGCAACGGTATCTCTCTATGCAGAGGGACAAAGGAACCAGTCACTCGGGTAGTCATGCGGTCAGGAAGTCACCTCCCAAGGGGCGACTCCCTTTCTACCTACGAGAGGCCGAGTTAAAGCCTCAACCTCGCTTACGGTGCACTAGTAAAGGTACCGCTCGAGCAAACGCCAACAATCGGGGCGCTACCTCAACCCCGATGATCATACACTAATAATTGTTCTGGTCGTACGACCGGGACGCGTATTAATTTATTCTAACAGATGTACTGACGATTAAGTCTCAGCGTGCATCGTAGATCTACTCGTCATAACATGAACTCTATCGACCCCTCAACCTCTCTGGTCGAAGGGTATTACTGCAGATCCTGACCTTCACAGCGTGCGTCATAACAACGCGCGCGCATACTTAACGAAATTTTCTCACCAATTTTGCCCCGGCCTCAATGGCCGAGGAATTCGTTTCGAGTGTCACGCTCAAGCGTGCACACCTTTTCCATTCTAGACTGGCTCCGTCATGGTAGTCGACGCCGTCACCGTGTCGAATGCAAAAGCATGGCCAAATACCCTTGTAAGGGTATTTGGTCCGACAGTATCCCAGACCCCATTAAGTGACGTCCCTGTCGCTGAAGAACTATATGCAAATAAAAGATGTTTTCCGATAAGCAAATCGTCAAATCCGAATCCTGGAATGAAATGTGGTTTCAGGATTGACGCCGTCACCTCACTTTTCATTATTACTGCCGGGATTTTAACCGGGGTCTCCCACATAAAATAAATTTAATGACTCGAATTGGGGATACTTGATCTGTACTACAGTACATGAAATAGTTAAGTATGACAACGCACCTTTCCTTCCCCCACAACCTTAGTCTTTGGCCCAGGTATTCCTTGGTTATTTTCAAGGTTGGTGTCCGCGTGCAAACTCAACCCGTCAAACGCGAGTCCTAACCGAGACCTTAGCGACGAAAGTAACGAGAGTTGGCCAAGCGATTCGTCGCACATACACACACGCCCCGTAGCATACTATAAAGGTGCAGACCAGAACAAGGACCGACCTATTATATAAGGTACAGATAGCGTAGCAGGAGACTTAGATATAGATCCTGACCTGACCGGGACGGACCTCTATCACGTAGTGCAAGATAACGCAGCAGAATACTTAGAATACTAATAACTAGCCCAATAAATGTTGAAAAGCAGACCAAACATACATCATTCTCACCACACGGTGTGAAGGGCCTGACGCTATACACAGGAAGAAGCGCCAGGTCCAGACATGCACAGACGAAGACGAGGGGAGAGATGGGAAAGTCCTCAAGTCCCACATAATCCGTCGTCAAAATGTCTGAAGTCCAATGTCGAGTCTGGATCCAAAATGCCACCAAGCTCTCTCTTTCTCTCGCTCATAGTCTGCTGATGCAGTGAAGTCAGATAACGAGAGGGTAAGAGGGAGATGGTGGACTGAGAAGAGGAAGAAAAAGAACTCTCTCTCTCTCTCTCTCTCTCTCTTGGATCAAGCGAGATTCAGAAGATAAAAACAGTAATGAATCCTTCCGCTTTTGCGGTAAGGATTCATTCCCATGTTGCAGTTTGAACCGCTGACACAGAGAGAGAGGGACGGGGCAATTTTTTTTCTGCGGCCTTCCACCCAGCTTGCCGGGTCTCTCTCTCTCTCTCTCTCTCTCTCTCTCTCTCTCTCTCTCTCTCTCACACACACACACACACACACACAAGCACACTCGCACATATACGTATACATACATAGTAATATATATATATTCAAATGGTAGCGGTAGATTCAATCGATTTTGTTCTTATTTATTTATTTATTTTATTTATTTATTCTACTTTATTTATCTTATCGATGTATCATGAGGTAAGCCGTAAGATCAGAAACTTACCTCTTCCCTCTCTTCCCGTCGTCGTCTTCATAGCGGCCGATGTCGTCGTCGTCGGTCGATGTCGTTCGTCCGCACTCCCCAACGGCAAACCGTCGAGATCACAGCGATCCAGACACTCCACCGGACCATTCAATCGGTAGGAGCGATGGTGGTGTGTACAAAGGTAAGGACGTAATCAGCGTGCGCTGATGATTCGCGCTTTACTAGGCATTCCTTATGCAAGATCGGTAATTACAACAATCGATCCCCGTCGCGTTGGATCCCCTTCCCTTCTCCCTCTTCTTCTTCCTTTCTCCTTCTTCTTCTTCTTCTTCTTCTTCCCTCCTCCTTCTACTTTTTCTCTTCTCCTCCGCGGATTTCTCCTCTTGCTACCACCGCGCGCTAACTTTTTTTTTTTTTTTTTTTTTTTTTTAATGCGCGGTCGCCTTCACTCCCTCGCGCTACACCCCGCTTTCTCCCTCGTCTCCTCCACCGTTTCTCCTTTTTGCTCCCTACTTGCACTGCCGCCCCGCGCTCCATCCTCCGTTGATCCCTGGCGCGGCTCTTCCTCGCCTTGTCCGCTACTACGTTCAATGCCACCTTGCTGCTAGTCCGAGCTCGTGGCGCTGCTCTCCGCCCACGCGCTATTCCTTCCTCCCCCCGCTAGCGCATGTTGGCAGTGAGTACTCCGCCTTCGCAAGCCGGATTTGTGGCTCCGCGTAGCACTGGGGTACTTTGTTGATGCATCTATCGCGAAATCCGCGACAGATTCCTAAAAACGAACTAATTGAAAATTACGGGCGAAAAGGAAAGGAGAAAAAAAAATTAATAATAATAATAAAAGAAAAAAGAAGAGAAACTAGTCGTAAGCTATGTAGCATCGTGTTCGCGTTCGGTGACCGAACCCGAATGTTCGGGACCGAACGCGAACGAGCGCGGAAACTCTCCGAACGCGAACATAAAAATATTTATAAAAAAAACAAAAAATATTCTCCAAAAAATCTGGAAAAAATATACGTTATGTATAATAATAAGACAAACAACTTTTGCCCTGGAGATATGGTCAAATTCGTAACCAAACTCGAGTCAAAAATCAAAAACTTTTTTTTTTTTTTTTTTTTTTTTTTTTTAATATGTTCGGTCGAACACGTTCGGTTGGCGTTCGGCCGAACACCCGAACATGTTCAGACGTTCGGAAAAGCTCCGAACATGTTCGGTGTGCTACACAGATCGTAAGAATAAATAAAAGAAAACAAAGAAAATAAGGAATTAAACTTCTAACCACCCGAACTCGCCAAGTGTCATGCCCCTCGTTTTGAGACGAGGCAAACTGTAACCTCTAACTCTAACTTACCTTTGATCTCGAGGTCAAGGGTTCAAGTCCCGGCTTGACTGAGCCTGGGTGAAACTGTTGTCGAGCTCCTTGACAAAAGGAGCTAGCTCAGCGGTCGGTTGGATACGTTCTCTGCATCACCGCTTGACAACCCTGACCCTAAACCTATTGAGCTAGCTCCTACTCTTGTTAAGAGAGGGGCCGCTCAGGTAAATACAGAGGATTGAGGCTCCGCCCACCTAGTGGCCGAAGCCTATTTCTGAGTCTGTGCGTGCATGCACGCTTGCTGTACATGATCAACCTTTCCAACATCTTGGTCATACGACCTTTTACTGACTTTCACACAAAGCACTGATCCGCCCGTTCCTCTACCATCACCTTTAGGCCTCAGATGAGTCCAATAGTGATAGACAAAGGGAGATACTGACTCACAAAAGACTCAAACCATAGACAAGGATTCACTCACAATGTGAAAGTGTTTG